GTGAACAGCCCTCCGCCTCTTCCTCCCTCACCCCGCCGCGTAACCCGGCCTGGGCCGCTGACGCTTCTCTACCCGCTTCTGGCAGAAAGTGTTGGCGGGTGAAATTTTTGTTCTTGCTGCCTTTACAAGTCCCGCTCTTCAGGCGGCAGCCTCCARTTGTGCCCGAGTGCCGATTTGGACATGTGCAGAAGTACACTTTCTGCTTAGCTCTAAGAAAAAAAATCTCCAGTTGCATAGAATGATATGGCTGTAAGCAAAATGTGTGTCCCTCGTGTTAAAAACACATCTTGGGCTTGTAGCAGCGTTGGTCAGTGTGAATGGGATGGTGGGACATACCTGTGGTGGTTTAGCCCCAGGCATGTGCTCCTCACTCCCTCACCGGTGGGATTGGGGAAAGGTAAAAAGGCCAGAAAACTCTTGGGTTAAGATAAAGACAGAAATAGAAAAGTCAAAGCGAACAAGCAAAGCAAAACAGGACATTAATTCACTGCTTCCCAAGGGCAGGCATGTGTTGAGCCATCTCCAGGAGAGCCATCACMGGTTATGGTTACTTGGGAAGACAAATGCCATCTTGCCATCATTTCAAATATGCCCCTTCCTCCTCTCCCCAATATCAAATATCCTCTTCCTCCTCAGTCCTATACTGAGCATAATGTCATTTGTCCTGGAATATCCCTTCAGCCCATTTGGGTCACCTACCCCAGCTATGTCTGCTCCCTGCTGTATTCAGCAGAAATCCAAACCACAGCCCCACACTGTGAACAAAATTAACTCCACCCCAGCCAAARCCAGCACAGCATACCATGGTGGTACATAAGTTTTCTGGAGAGGTGTTGTGATTTATTGCAACACCTCACATCTGCATGTCTGTTCGGAGCTGGAGTGCTACACACTTTCAGATTTAACGTATGGGGAATTGCTGCCCAGCTGAGGCTTAAATTATCAGGAGAATTACTTCCTCAGCATGTTCTTATGGCGGCAAAGTATCTGTAGCCTCTGGCAAGGTAAATTCAAGAGAACCATGTATTAAAATCTGGTAGTGAAAGTAATCTGCTTATTGCTTGAACATGATTGATTGGTAGATAATATTGAAAGTTCTGAAAACATTTTGCAGACATGACCTATCTATAGAGCTGCCTGTCTTGGGTGTGTGTTACTTTACTTGTAACATTTCCACTCTTATTTAAACAAATACACTGTTTCAAATACTTGTTTGAAAGTAATTGCCAACAACTATTGTTCTTCTAGGTTGATCAACTCCAAAATGTTATCTCAATGTCTGTGCCAAGCTTGCAAATGTTTATTTCTGTGCAACTTGAAACGGAATTCAGTAAACATGGCTAGTTTRGCCAGAAGGATCCATTCTTCATCAAAAAAGCTTTCTGACTCCGAGTCAAAGGAACAAACTGGCCAGAAATGTGAAACTGAAGAGTTACGTCCCAGTACAGGAAACAGTGATTTTGGAAGATTGCACATACCAGTGATGCTGGAGGAGGTTGTTAATTTTTTATCTCCCCAGCCAGGTCAGGTGAGTTAAATGGTTAATTAACATTTGTCCACAGAAAAATTCGGGCAGTGTAGGAATAACTTTTGTTTAGAGGAATAAAGGGATGCTCTTTAAGGATCAGTTGCAGCTTTTAAAGGTTCTGAATTGTTCTGAAGTTCAAACTAATAAAATTCTGGTGTCTCTGTGCCTGAATCCCCAGGTAGGTAGTATTTGTTAACTGTTATATTTGAATATTCTGTTGTTTTTGTGCTTGTCTTTCTGAATTGCACTTGTGCATTTGTAAGGTTCTGTTAATTACAGTAGTGGGGATTTCTCATGTATGGTTATATCATCAGTTTGTGAGGAGCTTTAATCCTCTTGTATAAGAGGTACCAGTATGTAGATTTTTTAAAATTGTCATCATCACCATCCTTGTTCTGACATGGTTATTTCCATGGTTCGAAGTCTTTACTTAGGATATAATTGAACATATAAACTGTGATACGTTATGTAAAATATTTTTTCCAGCTATGTAAGTTTCTTCTTAGATAAGACGAGCCTGATGAAACTCTTTGTTGATGCAGAAAAACCTTACTTGGGAACAGAACTTGTRAAAGCAACTATTTGAGGTTATAAACTGTGGGGAGTAACTGTTACTGCCCCTGAAGATTTTTTTTGTAATTTAAATATTTATGAATGTAAAACAGCTTATTATTGGKGTGAGATCTTTTCAGGTCTGTGTATACATGGTTTTGCAGATTCCCAAGCTAGTAGTGARCCATTAATGATTGCTGTAAGAGAGMCCAAGTGTTTGTCTCAAACAGAAGCATTTACAATACTGCTAACCTGTTCAGCATGACTGAAACTGGAAACTGTTCAGTWCTTCCATTTTTCTTTTTCTGTATGGATTTGCAGCACTTTCTGAAGCCTAAAAATAAGTAGTGTGCAAATGGTTGCAATGTGTCAACTGAGTTTTGCTGTTGTACATGAAATTTTGAACACAGGTTGAGACTGTTTCTCACTAACCTGAGTGGTGATAATCAGTTTGTATTAGCATAGATATCAACTGGGAGTGTTGTATAAATTTACATTTTTAAGATTATAGTCATGACAGGGAAGTCTATAAACACTTTATTTTGTGGGCAGGAAAGGTAGTGCTCTRATCTTGAATTTAGTTTTTCTKCTTTATTTTCTCCTACGCACATAAAAGATTTCTTTTACTGAGCTTTAATATAGTTATATTTTTTGTTATAAAATAGCTGATTTGGGCCTCTATTCTTGTGGGCTAAGACAAGGAGTTGCCAATATAAAGAAAATCTAATTAGAAAGATGATGTTCTCCCTATAGTTGTGGTCGCTGAACGGGATTTTCATTTTACTTATAGGGCTTCTTACGAAAATAARTGTTACTTAAGAGTGAGTCACAGCTGAGATAAAGATGTTAGTGCCCTCCTACTGAATATTCTTGTTGACTGTGTCCTTTGGGGAATCTGTTTGTCAGGATTTTGAGCAATAATACYTCCAGTTATCTTTGAATCTTCTTTTATTGCCTTGTTTCGCAAAGTCCCTGTAGTAGTCCTGTCTTTGAAGCACAGACTACAAATTAGATTTTACYGATCTACCTCACTTCTCAATGAAAAGCCTGTTGCAGTAAGTCCACACACAAGTAATTTCCTCTTTAAGTTTACTGTATTGATTAAACTACATTTTAATCTTTTCAGTCCACGAATGTTGTTTGCAAATACTTGACCAATGTTTTTGCAGTTGTTTGGACAATTRAGGTTTCTCTGTTCTCTTAAAGAACCGAACATATTTTGAATCAWTATGTTTGGACATTCAGAAGCACATTTCCCCTGTTTTCAGCCTACTTTTGCTATTTTTTTCCTTTGCAATACTCACTTRCTTTTTAACTAGAGATGTGGATCTCTTCCACATCTTGTCGCTATAATGTAACGTAAAAGAATTTCATTAGCAGTGAGTTCTAGTATGAATGCCAGAGGATGAAATTTTAACTGTTCTTATGAGGATCTTAAAGGTTTTTGAGTTGCCAAGYTTCAGGAAATGATAATGCTCCAGCAGCAACAAATACTTCTATACACAATGTTTAAACTCCCACTAGAAGCAAATATTGTGCCCTACTCAGATTRTATGGGGAAGGCTGCAATCTGATGACATCTGTGGTTTTCTATGATTTGGTTTGTGGTTGAGTATGATCTAGAATAGACTAAAATGGAGATACTGTAAGTTCTGCTAGTATTGTTTGGTTTATGATAGTTCTAGAAGCTTTTATTTTTAAGTATCGGTARGTTAAATGGTAGGTGGTCAAACTTGAGGAAGGAAAAAGGAAGAGAAARAATGAGATCTTTTAGTTTTCTCCACTGTTTAAGTGGTTCATCAGAAACAGTTAATAGCGGATGATTTTTTTAATCTCATTATGTTAATTTGTGTCAAAACCAGGCAGTAATRTTCCACAAAGAGATCTTGTCTGACATTTTGAGTTAGCCAGAACTAAAYGGAGATTTCCGTTTTGATTCTCCATAAAGTAATTCAGATTATTTTTGTTACTTGGCATTCATTGAAGGAGGTACCCTCTTTGTCTTGGGAATAATGTGTGATACCTACTTTCTAGAAGGAGGCAGGTATTTCCTGGAAACATCCAGCTTTGCCATGGGCTTTCCTTTTGGTCTTTCAGATATCTATTGCTTTGGGGTAGTTTTTTTCACACATCCAAACATCAAATGGTTTATGGCCTTCTAAAGTAGCAAGAAGAAAATGTGAGACATTGCTGACAGACATTGTTCTGTTGTGACTGAAGTGCTGTTTGAGCTCTGCAGTTCAAGTTTGGAGACAGCAGCTTTTCACTTCCTGGAGGTTCTGTTTGCTGCTGTTGGCTGTTGGTCTGGAGTGTGGTGATTTCCTTCCTTTTCTAGAGCTTGTTAGTCAGGTAATAGATGGCACTTGAAGGAAGCTGAGGTAGACTGCTGGTGTGTGAAAGCAGAGTCAGTTCTGAAATTGTCTTGGTTTCTGTGTACTCTTGTCCATCCATCAGTATTCTGCCTTATACTAAGTACTTTAAGACAAAAATAACCTTTTTTTGTACAGCACCCTGCAGAGGGGACTTCTGTTTGTGATAAAGCTTTCCAAGTACTGTGGTATATAAATAGTTACATGTCTGTGCTGGTGACCAGGGTTCTTATAGTACCTCCAAAGCCATCTGCAAATCATTTATAACTGGAATGACCCGTTTATGCCAGAGGTTCTCAAAACTGAAGTTTTCTGCAGGATGTCCAAAATAAACAGGAATTGAAAAGGGAGCTGGAAAAATTCTGGAGTTCTCAAGTTGTAATTTTCTTTTTTTGTAAAATGCAGCCAAAATATCAAGTTTGTAAGGGAATATTTATTGCACCRTGAGATAAATGCTGAAATACTTTGGAAAAGCAGAATACACACATGGACTAAGTAAAAATTTTTGTTKTTTAACTTGTTTTCCACTGGACTTGTAAAATGAATATGGTGAATTGCTTTATCAATAATAAAGCAATTGATTTGTGTAGTATTCTTTATTGTAGAAATAACTATATATATTTTTTGTGGGAAGCATGCTGAAAATGTCTTTCCATATGCAAATGTTATGACTGATTTTTCTGTCAGCAGCGCAGTGATCTATGTAGTGMTTGTTGTAAAAAAGGAAGTTACAGAAACTTGCAAGAGTCATTAAATTAATATGGAGTAATTCTGGAAGTACTCTGGGAAACAGAACACACTTTTTTCCCATGATCCTTGAGTGTTACTGGGATATAYTGAGAGTTATTTCAGTTGATCATGTAGTTCCTGTGTGTTCTTTCAGTCATTCTTATCTTGCCTGATGTCCTGGCTGCACATTTTGTCAATTTACAGCAGAGGCTAGCCAGGCTTCAGATTGCAGTTGTATATGGAAGTATGTAATAAAATGTGCATAGAGTGCATATATATGCAAAGTATRTTCATTTTTGGAGGTATCTCATAGGAAACTAGTTAAATGGATTCTCATCAGATAGCAATGTTTAAAATACTTGGCTAAAATCATACTTTAAGAGGGATGTTTTTGGTGAAGTTAGGGTGCATGAAAATGGGAAATGCTTTCAAAACGGTTTTGACTAAGGCATGCAAAAGATTAGTACCTCAAATTTTATTATTATTTTAAATAATGTCTGTTTTTATGATGTTAGGACATACATTCAGATTTGGAAAAGCAGACCCCATTTGCTTAGGTTTCTTGACTTCTAACCAATTGCTCTCTGTGGTGATGTGCAGTTGAAATAAAAAGTAATAAGGTAGAAGGAAAATTACTTAACAGTGTAATGCCAATAAATGCCATATATGTTCTACAGTGTCTGCATCTGCGTGACTTCCATCACAAGATGGGAGAGGAAAGAAGGGGACTGGGAAGAAAACAGGACAGGAGGTGGTGTTCATGAGCAGCTTGCCAGCTGAGGAGGCAGAGAAAGTCAGTCAAACTCTTCAACTGTCTTTTTGTTTTGCTGTCTTCTGTAGTGGGCCCTCCAAARATACAGGGATCTTAAATTCCTTACTGACAGCTGACTTAAAACACATGTGATTTATTTGAGAGTACTGCATAACTCTTCTCTATTTTGGAGCTGGTACTGCTGAGTGATTAGACTGCSRTAGCAGGAAATGAAAGATATCCGTRTATTGGGATCTGAATGATGGCAGGATATGAATGAGGCATGGTGAAGAAGTCCTTTCAAATTTTACTTTTTTTATCCTTCATGAATTTGGTCTTTAGAGAAAAAAAAAATAAGTGGAATACTCGGAAGAGAGGAAGGATAAGTTGATGGCTACAGCTGCACAGGGAAGAATCTTCAGGTAGTAGCTCTTGCACATCCGCCTGACCACCTCATCTTCCCACCTGCATCATGGCTCTCTGAAGGCATATCTAAATGCTCTCAGCAGCTCTCACCAGCTTTGTTCTGCATCTCTATTGCAGTAGAGGAAGGGAAGCCTGCAGCTGCTCTATCCAAAGAGACCAGCAAGGGACCAGGG